CCCCCAAAACCCCAAAACCCCAAAACCCCATTTGGGGTAGTATAGATTGATAAGAGGAGGGGATATTAATTGGTATTTTAGTGAATGAGAAAGATGGGTTGGGATAGATGTTTGTTCAGAAGGTTATTTAGGGGTCTTCTTCATTTTGAATGGAATTATGACTTTCTGGTTTATTTTGATTGTTGGTGGTTTCTTTATGAGTCATGAAATTTAGGTGGGTTGGGTGAAGGGTAGTATGGCATTTATGTAAAGGTTTATTTATTATCTGGTTTTTCCTGTTACTATTATTTGAATTCTCATTGTTAGGGTCTTTCTCAAAATCTCTATAATGTTGAGTCCTTTTTCTTTGCAATAAGTAATCTTTGCTCAAAGGACCAACCAGCATTTCAAAATGCTGAAATTTATTGAAAACTTTTCCTTCCAAACTTGTTGCTTGTCTTCCATAGTTCAAGACTCCTTCTAAACTATCTTCATCTTCATCAACTTTAGACTTATTATTAACTTTGGTGGACATTGCATCACATAGTCTTTGGTGATAAATGTTTGCAGCTTTACTAGTTATAGGATTTGAGCGGCCATAATCAGTTGGGAAATCAATTCTTTCTTCTTTGTACTCGTACTCATCATTCCTGTGGATATCTTTTTTAAGGCAATTTAGAATCTGTCTGAAAGGAATAATCATGTATAACGAAGTCAGCACAAAAGCAGCAAGTCCAATCCATCCTTTCCCCTCAGAGAGCACTGTGCTGAATATGTAAAGAGAAGTCCCGTATAATAAACAGAAGAAAGGAATCATGTTGCTGAAAATTTGAGCCATTGTTTCTCCGAATGGTTCAGGCACTTTATGTCTTCTAAGTAATAAATATTTATCAAGCCAGTATTGGAATAGAGCTCCAAGAAGAGAAATAACCGAAATTATAGGCATTGGAAATACATAAAAGACTGCCATACAGAATAAAAGCATTGTATTTGAGTATCTTTGAGCCATATCAAGTGGAGACCCTTCAAAAAGTTCATTTGCTTGTCTTTGAGTGAGTTTAGACTTTTCTCCCTTTCTTTCTTCATTCCATCTTTTACACAGCCTTATCAAATAAGCAGGGTCAAACAAGTAGGAGAACGGACTGATCAGCGAGATAGTAATTACAATGTAGAACACATCTACCATAAGGCCTCCTGAATCGAACCAGTTTGCTCTTCCAAAATTGACAAACAATGGAATGACACCTGTATTAATGAACATTGCAATTGTAAGCTTAAAAGCCACAGAGAGATGGTACTTTGTGTAAGTTTCATGGTGCTCATAAGACGTGAGCATTCTAATAACTCTTCCTAGAAATATGTTGATTGCAGCAATCAAGAATGAAACAGTGATGGAAAGGCCTCTAATAAAGTATTCTTCTGCCAAACTCTCTTTGTGACTTCCGTCGATGGATTTCTTGATACCTCTAATACCAAGATTGACTCCAAAGGCAACTCCTAAACAAACTAAAGCAATAAATGATGTCCATAGAATTTTATTTGAATCTGGTTCTAGAAGAAACGCTAAGGTTTTCCCAGTAAATATCTCCTGGCTCGACTGCTCTTTCAGCATAGATAAGATTTCCATCCCAGTATCTATTGTGAATGTTTGAGTTTTTCAATCTAAGCACATTGTAAATAATCCATGTAAGTCCTCTCATCAATAGAGTGCTATCAAAGTATTTAACAATTCTTTCAGCATGACTTTGTTTGTTGACTACAACAAATGCAGTTCCTCAGAACTCATGAGAATGACAAATTCTTTCCATTGAAGCCATGATTCTCTCTTGCTTCTTTTCTGTATTTTTGATCTTGATGTTTAGCTCATTAATACTTGGATATGACTTGTTGATTCATATGCAAAACTTTGAAGCAGGCGGACTCAGCTGAACACCTTTTTTTATAGCTTCTTCTTCGTTAATGTTCCCTTCTTCCTCAAGTCTCCTTTTCTTATAGGCTTCAAGGTAGGCCTTGATTTGCACCATTGAAGTGTGCTTTCTGGTGACTTCAACCAATTCAGTAATGTCATAGCAATAGTTGACGTACACAATTTCAATGCCTGGGACTTTAGCTTCAAGCCATTTTCTTAGTTCATCAGGTCTCTTGTCTTTCGGAATGTTACTAATCATAATGCCAAAATCTGAAGGAGTGATGTTTTGCTCATCAACTTCTCTAATAATAGTATTCTGACTTTTTCTTAAGAAAATGCTTGCAATACCAATCACAAAAATGAACAAAAAATTTAAGATAGCCTGCACTTGCACTCTCCATTCAATGTAGTTGTCAGGCTCATTCCCATTGTTTCCTATAGTTGTTGAAACAATATATGAAGAGTTAGGGTCCCATTGTTTCTTGCCATCTTGGTTCAGATTAATGATCAGACAAGGAATCCCAACTCAAAGAGCCATTAACAGATAAATTATGAAGGTGAACTTCTTGAAGTGGTAATATAGAGGGAACCCACTTCCAAGAAAATCTAGCTCTCTTGTATCCATTCAAATGGATAAGTCTTTGACGCCTTGTTTAGTAGGTCGATCTCAACATTCACATAAATCAGGAGTGTCCTCCATTAGATCTTTATTTTTCTCTATAAAATCAGGTTGCTTCACTTTATTTGCAAAGCCATGAGTTTTGGCTCTTTTAAAACTTGGAGGGCATTCATCTAATTTCTTTTTATTTGCCTCATTTTCTTTGTCCCCAAGATGATGGTTAATCAAATTTTCAGTCTTTTTCTCCCTAAAATGCCATTAATAACGTCAAGATAAGAGTAAGGCATAAAGCCTAAAATGAACTTTGCTCAAAATTTTATCTTTGTCAGATTTTGTTTAAAAAAATCTTAAAATAAAAATCATAAACGAGTTGTAATTAAAAAGTGTGATTTAAAGGCATTACTCCTCTATTTCTGCTGCTTGCCTTTTAGACTCTACATGTGCCGTCTGATTCATATCTTCTTGTCGATTATGATAAACTTGGTCATTGTACAAATTATGCTCAAAACTTGTACAGCTGTTCTTTCTCTAAAATATTGTTAAAATTAAGAAACTGCGGTGGAGTAAACGAAGGGAAGATAGAATAGATTTAAGAGACATACAAATTTTTAGAATCTCACTTATTACAAAGTAAGATAAGAGCAGTATTATTATGGTTCTTTACCTGCAGGTTGTCATATTTTTCCTCTTCGTTGAATCCGAGCTGTGTTAAGTTTTGGGGGTGTTTCCTGATCAATATATTGATCCTTATGTTTACCCATTTATACAATAAGCACAAAATAATTTAATAAAGTTTCTCTATTATTAACGTTTATATGGGGTTTTGGGGTTTTGGGGTTTTGGGGTTTTGGGG